GGGAAAGAGGAATGAGGTGAGTTAACACCCCCTTTTCCTGAATGCTGCTGCCTTGATCCATATCAAGCTCTTAGAGGGCCACAGTGGCTCAGAGGTTAAGTTGAACTGAAGACGGGAAGGTCGGTCGTTCAGCAGTTCGAGACCTGAGTGCCACATGACGGAATGAGCTCCCAATCCTGCCAACCTAGCAGTCCAAAAGCAAGAAATTGAAAGTAGATAAATAGGTACCGCTTTGGTGGGAAGGTAACAGCATTCTGTGTACCTTGGCATCTACTCATGCTGGCCACATGACCACGGAGAAGTCTTTGGACAGCGCTGGCTCTTCGGTTTGGAAACAGCTATGAGCACCACCTCCTAGAGTTGGATTCGACTAGCTTTCAAGCAAGGGAAACCTTTATTAGGACTTAATGCTCTCCTGGTGTCCTCTGCTGAGGCCCCCATGCCTGTAACCTCTCCTGGCTTCCTCCACCATGGTTGCCAGGCCCGAAGTGGCCCCCAGTGTCCTCCACCAGGGTGGCCTGGCTTTCAGTGGCTGCTGGTGTCGGCTCCCTACAGTGGTCACTACCAGCTATATGGGTAAGTACTTTGGGCAAGTGCAGAGAACATCTTATTTTAATTTGGGGGGAATTTAACCTCCCAATGTATTTTTTAAAACAGATTTCTCTGCAAACCTGAGGCATCCCCCAAGTTTGCAGAAAAATCTGTTTAGCATTGATGTGACCTCAATCTACAGATTTAGGTATCTGCAGATGGGAGCCACGTGTCACTATTAGATACATTGACAAGAGGAATGCGAGGCATGTGTTTGGTACCTTTGTGGTTGAAGTCATAAATGTAAGGAGGGCAAGGTACAGCCAGCATTTCCCCCGCAGATCCCCGGGGCCAGCAGATTAAGCCGTCCCATTCTGGAAAGCAGTTGCCTTCTGTAGAGAAACAAAACAAGAAGACGGTGTGGGTAAAGGGGATGAAAGAACATCTGAAAATGTCGAGGCAGTGTGCGACTGCAATAAAAAAGTCCAACGCTATGCTCGGGATTATTAGAAAAGGAATTGAAAACAAATCAGCCAGTATCATAATGCCCCTGTATAAATTGATGGTACGTCCTCAAAAAGGATATTATAACATTGGAAAAGTGCAGAAAAGGGCAGCTAGAATGATAAAAGGGTTGGAACACTTTCCCTATGAAGAAAAGTTAGACTGCTTGGGGCTCTTTAGCTCAGAGAAATGACGGCTGAGGGGTGACATGATCGAGGTTTATAAGATTATGCATGGGATAGAGCAGGTCGAGAAAGAGGTACTTTTCTCCCTTTCTCACAGTACAAGAATTTGTGGCACTCAATGAAATTGCTGAGCAGTCAGGTTAGAACAGAGAAAAGGAAGTCCTTCCTCACCCAAAGAGTGATTAACAAATGGAATCCACTGCCACAGGAGGTGGTGGCAGCTACAAGCAAGCACACACATCACCCGGAAGAGATGTAATGACGCCGGGCACGCTGGGCATGCCCCGCGTTGGCAATAAAGCTACGAGCCTGGAGGGAAGAAATGAAGGGAGCTGGGACCTCCCGTGCGCTTCCCCGCTTCTGCCGTGCAACTGCTCTGTGGCCCGGCTCTCTAGCAGAGGGGCTCGCTCGGGTGCCCGGCCCAGCACACCCACACCCCTCTGGACCGCAAGCTTCCCCAGCAGCCACTTGCCCGCTTTCCAACGGCGCACGAACAGCCCGGCTCCTCGCGGAGCTCGCACGGGGGGGCACTAGATCCCCTGCGCACACCTCCCCACCGGCACACTTTTCAGTTCCATGCAGAGTCAATCAGAAGTGCAGCTGGGCAGAAGCGCCCTCTGGGGGTCGCCCCGCTCACTTGTTGCCCATTTTCAGCACGGTTGCTGCACCAGGAGGTGGCTCGTGGCGCGCGGAGCTGGACTGTAGTGGCACGTTGCCGTGGTCTGAACGGCCGAAGGGGCCCTCCGTGCAGGCCCGGCCGCCGTGCCAGTTCCCGACGGAGTGCGTGGAAGGAGCTCTGAGAGGGCGGTGGCAGCGGCAGCAGGAGCCCCTCCACTGGCCAGCCAGGAAAGGGAAGCGGTGCGGTCGGAGTGCCCGCCTGGGTTCCAGTCCCCGCTCCGCCCTGAAGCCGGGGAGGGGAAGGGTCTGGGAGGCCTGCGCATTGAAGGACGGGCAGGACAACCATGTCGGGGCCCGGCTTCGGTGGCAATGCTGCTAGCGGTTCTTTCCTCGCCCAAACCAGCCCCTCCTCTCCCGCGCACCGACCAGTCCCGCACAAGGGCTCCAGGTGACCCGGTGGTGGTGGGGAGGGCAGCCCCCCCACGAGCCACCTGCTGCTTCCCGCGCCTCTTGCAGCCTCTGGCGCATCCTGCTGGGCGAGCTGCTTCCCATGCCCTCGCTCCGCCCGCCGAGCAGCGCTTCAGCCAGGGCGGGCCTTGGTGGTAAGCGGAGCCAGGGGCTTGTCTCGGCCTCCAGCGCCGCCGCTTCCAGCCTCTCATCTTCGGGCCGGGGGGGGGGAGCAGAGGATCGGGGGTGCAGAGGATCGGGGGAGGGAGCCCACAAAACTCACGGGAGGGCCCGGGCCCCGTGGGCCCCATGTGAGCTATGGGCCTGGTTGTCCTTCCAGATCTCTGAGCCCCACTTGGAAGCTGGCAAGCCCTGCCCAACCCTCTGCTGAGATATTCAGATGGATGAAGAAACCCCACCTCCCATTGTAGGACTGAAATTGCTTATGGACAGAGGGTACGGATATGGTAACTTTTGGTTCCTTTGGGCTTTTTCTATGGTCAGGAAGTTAATTTTCTTCCCATCCGATTTGTTTAAGTTTCCTGATTTTGCTGGCTTCACATGTGGCTCTTTTGATATCTCTTTTTTTGTCAGACTAGGATGTGAGAGGAATCTGGGTCCAAATAACCTGTTCTGCCCGGGAAGCAAGATGTCACCTAGGCCTTCCTCTTTATGCTGGTAAGTCCCCCTGCTGGCTAGCTGATTGGTAGCGAGGGGAGGGGGCACGGCCTGTCAGCGGGTGACCTCATACGGCCGCTGGAGAATCTGGCAACCCTTGTGGCCCTTTCTTACACGCCCAGGAAAATGCTGCTGGCCACTTTGGGGTCAGTGTGGAAAGAAATTTCAGAAATATAGAAGGTTTGGGTTTAAAATGAACCAAAATAATTTATGAAATCCATGTATATCTGTCTTTGCCCTTGCTAACGGACAGTCACAGCCTGTCTCACTATGATTCTTGCCAAGCCCTTTTGCTCTCAGTGTATTCAACATTCCATTCCCCAGCCCCAGGTGTGTGAGCCTTACATTAAACAGCTTGTCAGGAAGGCCAGCTTGAGAAGTGACAGACCCCCAATTTCCTAGGCCATAACATGCATGACCATTTGTGGAGCTGGTAGGCTTCAAATCCACAATGCAAAATTCATGGGAAACAGAAGTTCAAACAAACCCCGATCTTATCTCAACAAAAGCACCAAAAGGACAGTTTGTTTGAATCAAGATATATGTGTGAGACTCATAATTTAAAGACAGTAACAATTGCAGCTGGGCCCTAAATCCCATATGCTATCTCAAGATAACAGGATTTCACATACCCCACCTTCCCCTTAGAAGATAACTTTGAAGCAGCTCTCTGATATCATCAAAGAGCAGTTTATTTCCCCTGATTGGGAAATTTTTCTCCAGGCCAGTTTGGCTGGAGATCTTGGAGGGGTTTTTGTCATCTTCTGGGCATGGAGCAGGGGTCACTGGGGGTGTAGGGGGGAGGTATTTGTGAATGTCCTACATTGTGCAGGGAGTTGGACTAGTTGACCCTGGAGGTCCCTTCCAGCTCTATGATTCTATGTTTCTGTGATTCTAAAACTATTTTCCTAGAACCTGAGACTGATATGCTGCTATTAGGTATTTTCGAGAGTCAAACATAACATCCGACACTGGCTGCTAAAAGAACACTTGCAAACTTCGGAAACGGCAGTGATGAGTAAAAATAGACTGATGGTTTATTCAGTCTTGGGGACTGGGAACCTTGTTCACTGGAGCATATGCATGGATTCCTGTTCTTGATGGCTTGCTATGGAAGCGGGATATGCTTCAGGAACATATCAATAAATCATAAGTAGTATAAAACTGTCCGTAAGGCCCATAATTTACTAGGGGGCTCAAGTGGTTAAGACGCTGAACTGCAGGCTGTGGAAGGTCAGTAGTTCAGCGGTTCAAGACCCGGATGCCGCAAGACAGGGTGAGCTCCTGTCTCTAGTTCCAGCTCCTGCCAACCTAGCAGTTCGAAAGCAAGAAATTGCAAGTAGATAAATAGGGACCACTTCGGTGGGAAGGTAACAGCGTTCCGTGTGCCTTGGTGTTTAGTCATGCCGGCCACATGACCACGGAAACGTCTTCGGACAGCGCTGGCTCTTCGGCTTTGAAACGGAGATGAGCACCGCAACCCTAGAGTCGGATTCGACTGGCTTTCGAGCAAGGGAAACTTTACCTTTACCTTACAGGGTTTCTTGCAAGGACGCAAACCACGTGTGCATCGTTCTGCATGGAGCAGTGGATAAGTGACGCACTGCGCATACGCTTTGCACCCGTTAACTGCATCAGGACCATAGGTATGGGTGCATACTGCCAGGGTCTGAACACCCTAGGGTTCCCAACCTCTAGGGGGTGGCTGGAGATCTCCTGGGATTACAACCAATGTTCCCTCTAAGCTGTGGGAGTCTTGTGAGCAAAAATTCTACTTTGTGAGCTACAAGTTGTGAGCAGGAGATTTGGCTGCTGCATAAATTAGTTTGCTCTGGAGCCATCCCTTCCTAAGCTAACACAAAAATCTGTGAGCCGGAGGCTAAAAAACTGTCTGGATTCTTGTTTCTTGATTTAAATTTGTTTGGGAAAAAATCTAATGTTTCTTTACGAAGTATCTCAAGTATTTTTTTCTTGTCCAACAAATCTTTGTTTATTCTTAGGGCTGCCAAATGTGGGTGGGGGGCGGGGAATCCCCCGCTTTGAAGGCCCGATTTCCGACGCAGCTGAATCGGGCCCCGGGGGGAACCCCGGGGGGAAGTCCGCCCCCCAAGACTGCGTCACCGGAGGTGACGCAGCCACCCAGAGCCCAGCGAGGCTCCCCCGCTGCGGCACGTGAGTACGCTTGGCAACCCTATTTATTCTCCATTGAAATTACTTATTTTTCTCTTTTGACGTCCAGATTAATGGGTTATGGTCAGAGTTACTCTTTGGCAATATTTCCACTTTTTGTGTCTTTAATGCAATGTCCTCTGACATCCAAATCATGTCAATCCTGGAAAAGGAATTATGTCTATTGGAATAAAAGGTAAAATCTTTAGTTTTGGGATTCCATTTTCTCCAAACATCTTCTAATTTTTCTTGTTCCATTAATCTGAAAAAAAACTTTTGGCAGTTTTCCTATCCTTTCATCAACCTTTTTTGATTGCCGATCCAATTTATTATCCACTGTTCCATTAAAGTCTCCTGCCAATATGATCTGGTCATAATTCACTTGGTCCAGTTCTCTCGTCAAATCCTTTAAAAAGTTCTCTTTTGTTCCATTAGGTGCATATACATTAATTATCAATGACTTTTTTTGATGCATCATTATTTCCACACCAATATATCTTCCTTCTTCATCTTTGAAAATTTCCTTCGGTTGAAGTTCTTTTTTTCACATAAGTCACAGTCCCATTAATCTTTTTCTCTGCCAGTGAACAAAATTCTTCTCCCAGTTTTTTGTTGATTAGATATTTACTGTCTTGTCCTTTAATATGTGCTTCTTGAAGGCAGATTATGTTACATTTTTGTTTTTCCAACCAATGCTTTACTAGTTTTCTTTTGTTCTGTGAGTTAAGTCCATTCACATTCCAAGATAAAAACTTGTAATCCATAGTGTCTTGTATTATATGTCTCCA